CATCTATATTTTTGAATTTCTCTCTCTTATGGATCGTGAGTGAACTGGTATTTTGCAACTTCCTAGCATATATATAACAGTTATCTTCTCAAAATAACAAAATCTAGATTGATGACTTCGTCTTACTTGCTCCTTTTTAAAGCTCATTACTTTCCATTGATGGAGCTCTTAAGGGTCAGTTTTCAAGTTGTTTATTTGTCCATTTCCTATTTCTCTGCAAATTTTTTGGTTTTAACCAAAAACACAAAAATTCGACCCTGCACTTTTTATACTTTTTGCAATTTGGGTATGCATTAAATTATCCATGATAGACATATATAAAATAATATTTGGTAGATAAGACTTTAAATTTGGTTGGTGCCTGGTGGTCCATTAATTTCAATGGAGATTCCTTGCCAAATGCAAATGGATGACAAAATTTTAACCTTTTTCGTTTTAGATGTATCGAATTTTATGTGTCATGTTATATATCATACATAAAAAAAAAAAAAAAAAAAAACTGGTGTGAATTTTAGCAGTGGCAAAATGAGCTTTTCTCATTTTCTTCTTGAGGACAGAAAATTGAAGTATTGATAGCAGAAAAATACAGAAGCTGTATACAGTTGCAGATAAAAAAGCTGTATACAGAACCATTTAATGTTACAGCATGAACAAAAAATGAAAATATAACTAGCTTTACAAAGATTATTGTTATTTTCAACAACAGACTTAAAAGACTTTTATGATTATACTGTATCTCATTGTGGGTAATTAATTATACACTAAACATATAATTATTGCATTATCATATCCATAAAGTATTCATTATCTTAAACATGTAGTAATGGGTAATTATAGTTTTCAATGAGGGAAAAAGGAAAAGAAAAAACGTATGTATCCTTTTTACTCAAATTTATTTATCCTCAAAAATTCAAATCTTTAAAATCACTACACTGTTTGTTTCTTCATAGTTCATAATTTCCCTTTTTCTTTTTTCTTTTTTCTTTTTCAAGTCATGAAATAAAACGATGATGATTCAGGACTTGAAGTAGAAGGAAGAGAGGATTACAGCGAATCACCGCTTTGGTTATATCTTAACCAGCAGCATCTCCGCAATTGATTCCAATCTAAACAAAGTAATTATTGGCAGCTAAAAAGAGTCAGATCTGAGAGGGAAATCTTGAAAAATATAAAATATATATATATATATATATAAATTTTAATTGACTGTGATTTCAAAGTTTTAAGATTTTGACGGATCAACTCTGGTACGATTGGATAAGTAATTAAGAAATTTTTAGGTTTAATTAGTAAGAAATTTGATTAAAAACTTTTAATTTAATTTGAAATTTTCAATACACGTAAGCTACTTGTGTTGTATTAGAAGTCACGCATATCTCGAAAAAATCACAAAATTATACCATCTAAATTTGTTTTAAAAACGTATTTAGCTCCTTTTAAGTCTTAAGAACAAGTAAATATTATTTGAAATACAACATACGTAAGATTTGAATTCGAAAATTTAATTCGGAATAAAAATATATTTTTAAATAATTTTTTCGTATTTTATTTTAATTTTTTAAAATTTTTGAGAAAAATAGAATCAATAATAAAATTGAAAAAATTTTTGGAGAAAATAAATAAAATTTTGAATAAGGGGGTATTTTTGAAAAGAAATTTGAAAATATGAGGCAAAATCGTAAAAAGAGAAAGTTCGATTATGTGGGACGACCCAGTCAGCAGCCACGACGAGTGTGCCGCATGGCGGACACGCTGACATCCGACGGCCCAGATAGCATCTCGCGCGCATGAACGACCTAAATGCATTCCCTCTTCAGACGTGATCGGACGGGTAGGATGATCGCGATAGACAACCCCCTTAAATTCGTCCACACAATCGACCTAAACCGA